AAGTACATTTTAATTTAAAATTAACTGTGTTATATAAATAAATATAGATTATTTTTTAAAAAATTATTGTTTTTTAAATAATTTATAAACTATATTATTTATATAAAATTGATTCAAATTGTAATCATTTATATCAATAAAATAATTAAATATATTAAATCTAAAGTAAAGTAGATTTACCGAATTTACCTACAAATTTAAAAAAAACATATCTTTGGTAGAATTTAATTTTCTTCTCGTTAGATGTCATTAATGTGCATCAAATAATAATTTAATCGATAAATTTATAGTTGATAATGAAAATAGCTGTACATGATAAAAATATCTTAAATAATAAAATCAATTTTCAGATATCTTTTCATTATATATTTCCTCGGTTCTATTATGTAATTTTTTTATATGTTAAAATTTATTATGCAATACGAGTTGATTTTGAAATTGATTTAATTAAAGTCTGATAATAATATATTATATGAATTTCTCAGCCATTTATATATAATAATTTTTACAAGGAGCGCATGTTCTTATTAGCGGTGCTGTCATTAAAAAAAAAAAGTAATTTTGCACGCCGCAAATAACTATTATTATAATCTATGTAATATAATAAAAACAATTTCAACTAAGCTTAAACTATTCTTTACAATTAAATTAAATATGTCATTTAGCTTATCACAAATACACAGTTTCTGATAGGTTGAAACTTGAAATTCTTATTCTCTGTTCTCTGTTCCCTATTCCTTTCATTATGCCTCTTAGAAAGAAGATAACGTTAAAGAAAGAACAAAAAAGAAAAATTAAGACGAATAGATACTCCAGAAATAGAGATGTCCCTCTTCTTTCATTTTCATGGCGGGGTTTTTAAATCTGTTGTAATTGCCCACTGCCAATCACAGCGATTTCTACGTAGGGAGTTTTGGGTTTTTTTTTAGCGCTATGATTGGCTTGTGCGCAATTGTATCGTGGGCAATTGCTATGCACTCGTTGTCAAAGTCGTACACAGGGACACGACTATATAGTGTAAAAAATTCAGAGGAAATAGGCACAATAGAGAAATCATCAGCGTCAAGGCTATGTAGCTCAGTGACAGGACGGAAGTCTACCATTTTGGAAGAGACTAAGAACCTTATTCCTGAACAAATATTGGGTCATCTAAAAAGTATCCGCGATTTCTTGTCACTAGATGTGTGTTGATAGTCATATATCTAGTGACAAAGTACCGCGGATACTTTTTAGATGACCCAATATATGTATGCTGTACATATACACATATACATACAAAAAATTTTCACTTTTCACATTTTCGTCCTAGGGAAAAAGATATATTGGGTCATCTAAAAAGTATCCGCGGTACTTTGTCACTATATGACCATCAACACACATCTAGTGACAAAAAACCGCGGATACTTTTTAGATGACCCAATATAATCGATACCGAGGATTGTATTGTACATCCGGGATGGATGTAATGTCAGGTTAGCCGACTTGTAAGAAATTTAGAGGAAATAGTTACAACAGAGAAGCTATCAGCGTCAGGGCTGTGTGGCTCAGAACGGTGGCAGGACGGAAGTCTACCATTTCGAAGGAGATCAGCAGGCCTATTTTGTAACTCTTAACGCAAATTTTGTTATTATATTTTACCATGGTAAAAAAGCTGCGCAGCGACGTTATAATGATAACGAAATTTGCGTTAAGAGTTACAGAATAGATCTGTTGGCCTTGATTCGAATCTTGGAGCACCCTGATATTTTTCTCGTGTTGTCGCTTAAATTTCTTACAATAATTTCTATCCGGACGAAAGGGCATAATTAGGATCTAACTTCACAGATAAATCCGTTCAATCTATCAATTATTTGTAGGAAACTGAAAAAAAAATCACTGAGAAAAAGAAACAAGAAAAAATCATGCTAAATCTGAATCATGTTTTATCTTTTCCTAATTTTAATTTTTAGGAAGAATTAGAAATAACCAATATTAGAGTAACTAACATCATTGTCCAAGCCGAATCGGTTTAAAAAAAAAATCCGCTATGGTAAAAAACGCTGATTGATAGAAATGGACATGCCGCGCTACATAATACTACACTGAAAGAAAAGATTGATTGCTGCAGCAAATTAAATGGTTAAATATGGCATAGCATTTTTAATTGGCTGCAGCAATTAAAAATTGGCTGTTACATAACCAATTAAAAATGCTATGCCATATTTTACCATCTAATTTGTTACAGCAGCCAATCTTTTTTTTCAGTGTATGGGTTGCACGCTCGCTAGGTACGCCCCTAAGCGTAAAGTAGTAACTGTCAATGGACGATTACTCGGCCAATCGCAGGCGAACTGCGAGTGTGACCCGACAACGTCGCCCACTGGGTCTCCAACACTGAACTCGACAGTCGTGGCTCGGCTGTTCTTTCGTACTCGGTTAGCGGATTTGTGTCTGACAGTGTGGCCGATTGGACTGCCGTGTGATTGTCGCGAAGACTCGTTTGGGGTCCACAAGAAGACGACTCGTCGACATCGCTTCATATACATTTAATACCCACGATGACACATTTGGTAACTTCGTCGACAACGAGCGTTTCTGGAATAAATGCGGCAGCGTTAATCACGACCGAGACGATAACGACAACGTTACAACAGCGTGTTCGCTTACCACGATAGTGCATTGCTGCTACAACGGGAAAAGAAGAGAGAGAAAGAGAGAGAGAGAAAAAGGGAAAGTGTGTATGTGTTTGTGTGTGTCGGATTCTCGTTCTCGATGTGGATGCGTCGCGTCGTGCACTTTAAACGAGGTACACATACACGCCCGAGTTCCAGGAAGCGCGTAGAAGAAGAATATTTCATCAAGCGATGCACGTGAGAAGAAAGAAAGAAAGAGAGTACGCGCTATCGAAAGAACATAAGTGAATCTGTAATTGATCGCACATACGTATTGGCGCGACATAGAGAAAGCGAGAGAAAGAAAGACAGAGAGAGAGAGAGAAAGAGAGAGAGAGAAGAGAAAGAGGGGAAAAAAAGAACAGGTTACAAGGCAAGCGGGCGCCATTCGGAAGTAACAGTGTCAAAGCACTGAGGCACCGTTTGCAACTTCTTTAGCGCCGCGCACGGCATCTAGAACGTGCGATGGGACGTGCGAGCGTGCGTGCCGTCGTCAGCGTGCGTCAAGGTGCGTGAAGTGGCCCCGTGTGGTGCGAAAAGTGCGAACGGAGAGTCCGCAGACGGAGTCGTTTGTCGCTTGGCGCGCGAGCGCTAAACTCGGGGCTCTCAGTCTCGCCTATCGTCCAAGCAGTCGAGTCTACGGGCGCGCCTTCTCGCTCTCGTGCCTTCGCTTCGTGGCGTGAACGCCGACCGCTGGGCTGCTTCGATTCTCCTCTTGCTCGCCAGCGGAGTTTTCGCTGCGTCGCGCTTATACACTCTGGATACGTGTATGTGCGCGCGCGAGAGATACGTACGTGAGAAACATCAGAGACGGACGTAACCGGCCCGTCGTATATACGTGCCGGAGGCGAATCTGGGGATCTGGGGGAGAGACCGTGGAAAAAAGAATTCCCAGATAATGGAGAAACCTGCGTGTACTGTGGACTCGTGATCGATTGCGAATTTTTCTGTGTTGTATATTTTTACGAGGAAGATAGAGAAGTGGAGAAGGTGGCGGAACGGAAGAAGGAAGAAGAGGAGGAGGAAGCAGAACGAGAGAAAGAGAGAGACAGCGAGAGACAGATTAGGTTAGGTTGAACTCACGTTCCCCCCCTCCCATTCCTCCGCTGCGGCACCAGGGCTTCATCTCATTTCGATGTGCACGCCAGTTTCCATTTGACTTGTGTACGCCTAAGGGACGAGGGCAGAACATAGAGAAGATAAGAGACCGAGGATAGTGCGCGACTGATGGATCTAAGGAAAAGTGATAGAAAAATACAAATGCTGATCGCCGATGGAATTTTTGTCACCGAATCATTGTCACCGTTCATGGCAATCAATAACGAATACCTCAAATTCAAAGCTCGGATATTACGCTTCATCGACATGTTTCCAGGTTAGCGCGAGATTACACGATTGTTACACACGGCTATCTGGCATTTCGTCGTGCCTTCACTATTCACTCGAAAAAATAGATGAATTTAATAGATTGCGAATTCGGTCGGAAGTACTTAGTGTATAAAGACGTATGTATCTAAATCAATCAAGTATGAGAAACGCCAGTTCACGATCAAAGTTAGTTGGAATAATACATCTATATGTACTCTCTAAAACTTTTAGAATAAATTGTCACTCTGAAGAGTGTGGCATCTCACTCTTAAAGGTTGAAAATTGAGTCTTTCAAGACTGGTTCAATTTTCATTCTTTAAAGTGAGATTTCACTCCAAAGAAATTTAAAGATATCGTCAAGCTAGTCTACTTTTATATTAAAGGTCTGTTTCACTAATCTCGGTTAAGTTAACGACGGTTACGTTACTGGGGCTCATTTAGGCCCAGTTTCACAATTTATTATTACTCATTATTATTTAAAATAAATTAAATTTCGGTTAAAAGTTAACCATGAGTTGTGTGAAACTGGATTGTGAAACCCAATTTTTTATTATCTAGTTAACTTGTGGTTAGGTTTAACCTGATGTTTTATCCATTAGGGATATCATCTATGATGGACGAAGCTCATTCGGTGAAACATCAGGTTAAACTTAACCACAAGTTAACCAGATAATGAAAAACCGGGCCTAAATGAGTCTCGTGTAACCATCGATTAACTTAATCGAGGTTGGTGAAAGAGATCCTAAATTCATTCTTTTTAGCTGAACTTCTTCCACGGTTCATCTCTTTTCTTTTTTTTTTCTCCAAGAATTTAGAGGGTATTTAAATAATTTTTATCTTGTATATATGCACGCTGATTACTTTCTGTCTTGTAACACAAACTAAAATAATATTCGTGTGTTTAATATAAATACGGAAAAACCACGAAATGAATCACTTTATTTGATAAAATATGTAATGGGTATCTTACTCTCTAAAACTTTTAGAGTGAATCTTATTCTGGAGAGTGAAATCTCACTCTTAAAGACTGAAAATCGATCCACTCTTTTTCAAGACTGGCTCGATTTTCACTCTTCAGCGTGAGATTCTATTTCGAAGAAATTTAGAGGCTATCGTCAAGATATTCTACTTTTACATTAAGTTCTTTTTAGCTGAACTTCTTGCACAGTTCTTTTCTCTTTTTCTCTCCAGAGAAGTTAAAAAGAATAACCTTATTCTCGAGATTAGATCAGTGTACAACGACTTTAATATGCACTAGTGCATGCACACTAGTGCATGCAACCGAATTCGCTATTACTCGGCACGAAGTCGCATAGTATCGTGTCGCGACAGTTTCGCACGAACGTTTCCATTCTCGAGGGCCCCCCCTCAGATCAAACGAAACGGTCTTTCTTTCGACTTCCACCAACACGACGGAGGTGTCGTCTGATCTTACGTGTCTGGAATTTTTGTTCTCGGAATATTTACAACTTTTTATACGCACCTCTCAAATATACGCAGCCCTTTATTGTTAGTTCGGATCTACATCTAGGTATTTTAAATCTTAAGTCATAAGAAACTGACCAATTATAGCCGAATGCAAGGAAAATAATTGATTGTCCATTTCTTATGGCTTAAAGCTTAAAAATCTATTGTAGATCCGGGCTTACTCTTGTAGTACAGAAGCTTACAGTAATCCAATAACGTTTTTATTTATCAACGTAGATTAAACTTTTTCTTATGTCCATTTCTATCACAAGTAGTTTAATTTTAATCTTGATTCAATTAACTGTTCATTTTTTTTCTAGTTCTAAGAATTGGAAAAAGGTAAAGAACAAATAGAATCGAGAAAAGTTAATTTACATTGATGGAAACGGAATAAAAGAAGAGGTCTATTGCTACAATGTAATATTTCTACAATATTGTTGCAAATGTTGCTACATATTTGTTGGAATGTGTGATGTGTGCTGTATGAGTAAGATATCTGACTCTTCCCACATTAACTCGAATATGTGCTTTAAAAAAATCAAGTATAATCAAGTATAATCACCAAGGAATGCATAGTAATATTATGTCGCAGAAGTAGAAGAAAAAGCATCTCAAGATTGCACTCGTATATCTTCATCGTTTTTAAAAAACGTTAGCATTTTTAGTTGTCGTTAACGATAGTTCGAAGATTGTCCAAAGATACGTTATTATAAATGACACGTCCAGAAATAAGTTATTATAATCTTTCAATGAAATTTATATGTATCGGTACGCAAGAAGTATGATCTACCGCGCGGTGTTAAATGTAAATGTATGTAGCCAGCGGAGTAGACAGAATAAAAAAGACAAGACGGTAGACGACGACGACGACGACGACGACTTCGACGACGACGATGACGACGACGACGACGACGCTGTAGAGACTTGTGCGAGACGGTGTGTTCCCATACGTCTAACGATCATTTCTTTTTCTTCAACCTTCCTTACTCCTTGGATATTCGCGATATAACGCGTCATCGTCGCGAGTTTTACCGAGTTTCACTAAACTATTCTGACATTCTTTAAAAGTGTCCATAAAATAATAATTGCACGAGATTGTATTTGCTCATCGCGATGGCATGACTTATCATGCTTATCAGAATCCGTATTTTTTTTATACATTATCGTTAAGTATGAGTCGTACCTAAGAGTTATATATAAATTTATAAGAGTACATTACTTTGATATTCTTTTTTGCTCTTTTTATTTATATTACTTTTGTAAAAATAATATTATTTTTGTGTCAGTGTGTATATGATATGTAAGAAAATATCAATAATTTAAGAGAATATACGTATAACATACGTGGCACAAAAAGTAAAACAATTTTTTTTAATTTTCTCGAGATTACTTATCAATGTGAATCTTGATGAAGTGATATATGCAATTTATTCGTACACTTCGTCGGTTTATTTACCTATTTTGTGCATTAATAATTTTTAAAAGTAAAATTAACTTTTAATAAAAAAAAATTATATATATATATTTAACTCAAGAATTAGGAATTTGTTAGAAAAATCTAAAAAGAAATATTCAGATCAGTATAAATCGGTGAATGCAGATGTCGGTAGCAATAAAGTATCCACGATGCCTAATTTTTTTGTATATGCGGGAAAATTGGAATCTTAAACGTGATATACACTTAAACACTTAAATGTCATCACTTAGCGTAATATTAGTTTTATTTAATTTCTTAAGGCTTTTTTTAGCCAAAAATAATTCAATACGAAATTCCAACAGTCAGTAAATAATATTATTTAGGCTAAGTTGTTCTTTCAGTAAACTTCAGCTCAATATCTTATTCTCTTACTCTTTTATGTTCTTATTCTTTTACTTTTTTTGTTTATTCAATAAATAAATTACTACATAACTTATCTGAAGATAAAATAATCGGCCTTTCCTTAGTACAATAAATTAAAAGTAAATAAAAAATAACGCAAAAGATAAAAAACTATGACATATAAGAACATGATAAAAACATTAAAAGACAAAAAATATATTGTAAAGATAAAAAATGTATAGGTGTATAAATTAATTCTCGGCCTTTTTCGAAATTTATTATTTATTTTTAAAACATACTGTTACATTTTAGTTTGGGAAATAATTTCCCTCTGCATCTATACATTTTTGCCACCTATCAGGAAATTGGCGGATATCTTCGCGGAAAAAAGACGGCGGTTTCGATTCAATGAAGTCATCGGTACATTTTTTCACATCTTTTTCTGTTTGGAAATAAGAATCCACTAGATGATGCTGTAACGATTGGAATAAGTAGTAATCCGATGGGGTTAGATCAGGAAAACAGGCTGCATACAGCAATATTTCCCAACCCGACGCATAGATAAATTTCTTCGTCACTTTCGCTACATTTCGCGTTGTCGTACAGCAGTATCACTTGCCGTATCCAATGGCCGGTTTTTTTTGCTCAATGGCATCACTCAGACGCATCAGTTGGTCTTGATAACGTTGAGTAATAATTGTTTCACCCGATTTTAATAGCTCGTAGTATATACGCCTTTGTAATCCCATCAAATACACAATAAAATTTTTTTGCATGAATATTGGATAATCGCAACCTCTTTCGAGGATTCGTCAAGTCGAACTAACAATTTTCTTCTTTTCCGATTGTCATACAACACCTATTTTCATCGCCAGTCACCTTTATAAAGAAAAAATCTTTCGTTTAAAACGCAAAAACAATGATCCAACCGTATCACAGCGTCTCTTTATTGTCTACACTAAGCATATGCGGAATCCAACGACACGCTTTCTGGATCAGTCCTAACTTTTATAACCGTAACAGTTTGCTACGTCACTTCAAGAGCTTCTGCGAGTTCTAATTGACATGAATTTTCATTCAATAGATCATCTAATTCTTGGTTTTCAAATTTTTTCGATTGTTCAGAACGAACTTCATCCGACAAATAGAAATTTCCTTTGCGAAATTGTGTAAAATATACGAAATCGCATCTTCTCCGAAAACTGAGCATATCAAATTTGTTGCTTCGGCGGCATTTTTTTTTTTTCAAACGCGAACGATATACAGTGACGAAGATGCTTTTCCTGAAACGACATTATTCGTTCCGCACAAACTTCACTTATTTTTTGAAGTTATGTTAACTATATAATTGAATGTTAATGTTCCTAAATTGGTCTTGAATATCCCAAACAGGGTCGACTTAACAATTTATATTAATGTTATAATTAATTTTAAGGAAGGGCCCAGAATTTATTTATATATCTATTATTTCTTTCGAATGATCCTTTTTAGAATAACATTATACAAGATTAACTCAGTAGTGAAAATAGAAAATAATATTTTACTCCAGCATGCGCGTGCGATAATTTGAAATTTTTACAAATGTATCTAAAACTATCCCTGATAATATGAATTACTATCGTGTATGTTCATTCCTTTAATTTATATTAAAATATTACGCGATTGTATAAAAAGAATCTTGTTGACTAATTATTTAAATTTACGTGTTTTAGATTATAATA